ACTTTGGGAGAATCTCAGGAATGGTTTGAATCCTCATCTGTAGTTTCACTTAAAATTACACCAGGTATTAAAGCATTGTGACTCAGTGGTTTGTGCAACAAGCTGGAAACTCAGGACCTGTGGGTTCTAGATATGCGTCTGACATTTGTTTTTTACAAGTGAGCTAGTCATGTTTACTCCCACGTTTTATTTAGTTATTCATCTATTAATGAGGACAAGGATGCCAAATTACCTCCCAGAGTTGTTCAAAAGAACAAAAAAGAACTCACAAAGAGTTATATTATAATGCCTTGTAAGCCATAACAAAGGTAGTTTTCATGACAGAATAGCTGTGAAAATACTCCAAAAGTTAGAATTTCTACACAGATATAAAGCATTACTTTTACCTGAGAGGGGAAAGGGATACAGTGAATATGAAACAGGTAGATAATCCTGAAACCCATTCTGAATTCTTGGTTTCAAACTCTCACTCCAACCTTCAGAAACGCACTAAGAAGATAAATTCTGAAACCGGTATTTTGGCTTTCTTTTCATCTCTCATGTCTTTACCCAGAGTGAAGGTGGCTAGTGAGTAGGGCAAGAGCCTAAAGAAGAAAAGACAGGAGGTAAAAAATTAAAGGGCCAGAAAGCATTCATTGCTTATTTGTTTAACCGGCTCTTATTTTGTGTTTTCTAGGAGCAAGGGTAATGTGTGGTACCCTAATTCTGCAACACACCTCCTGGAAGATGAAACCAAGGCTTAGAGAGCTGAAGTGACACCCCGGGGAAGAAATCGAGTGGGCATTTGAAACTTCATCTCTTTCACTTCAGAGCCCAGGCTCTTTATTCTTCCCCTATTCTGTTTCAGGAAAAGCAGAATTTATTTATGGAATAAATGCCAACCAAACCTGTCCTGAAAAGTCCTCAGTCAAGTTGTCCCAGGGAATCTCCCCATCTCTCTCATGGCCACACAGGTCCTGTCGTGACATCTCTACACATCTCTGCATGCCTGCTTAATGTTCCTTTCGTGACTAACCAGATTCTTTATAATTTCTATTCTTCCAAGGCCTGCCCTAATTGTATCCCATGGCATTCAGCTTCTGCCCTTGTGGTTTCCTGACTTAATCTCTCTCGGTTTCTAAGTTCAGGTTCCGAACAGTGAGAACTGATTGGCCACGGTCATGCTCCTACACCAAGCCACAGGTTGCTGCTGGCCAGTTTACATGGATTGGTTAATGTGGGTCAAGTGCAGCTGTGGCTGAGGACGAGCAAAGTGTTCTTTTCTTGAGAATTCTTGTGTAAACAGGTCAGCATTTCGAAACTTAGCCTGGGCTATTTAAAAAAATCTCCCAAATAAGAGCTGCTTCCATTTTTCATTTGGGTGTTTTTATTAAAGATATTGCCATTCTTCCTATCTATTACCTAGATTGAAAGTCTAAAAAATCTGAATAGATTTAATTTTCTTGGAAAAGTAATGCATACACAGAAAAATATTTAGAATATAAAAGGGTATACACATTGGAAGTTGTCTCCTTTCTACCAAAAATTGTCAAGGCCTTCCTAGAGGCAAACACGGCTAACAGTTTTTGAAATATCCTTCAGAAAAATTCTGTGTTCAAGCATTTATCCACATTCCATTTTACATAAAAGTAGGACTATATAAAACACAATGCCTAGCTTTTCTCATTTAATAAGATCTTGGGACCTATTCCACAACAACATACATAGACTATTTTTTTCATATTTTGAATGGCTTCAAAAAACTTAATTAGGGGAGCCTGGGTGGCTCAGTTGGTTAAGTGGCTGCCTTTGGCTCAGGTCATGATCCCAGGGTCCTGGGATTGAGCCCTGCATCGGGCTCCCTGCTCGGCGGGGAGCCTGCTTCTCCCTTTCCCTCTCCCTCTGCCTGCTGCTCCCCCTGCTTGTGCTCTCTCTCTTTCTCTCTGTCAAATAAATAAAATCTTTTTAAAAAACTTATAAAAACCTTAACTATATGTATGTGATTTTGTTTTTTAACCAGTGCCTTTTCTTATGCAGGCACATTGTTTCTACTCTTGCCATTACAAATAAGGCTGCAATAAGCATATATGTTTGTGTACAGCTGTAAATATTATCTATAAATTTTTCAGCTACAACACACATGACGTTTCCATTTTTATACATTTATGGCCAAACTGCCTCCAAAGATGTGCAGATTTCTCTCACCATTTGTGCATGAACGTTCCCATTTGCCCAAACCATGCATAGTCCTGTGTTCTGTCAAACTTTCTGATCTCTCCCAATCTGGTAATTTCATTTTAATTCTACCTTCTTTCTTGTCCACTAAGTCGTCAGCCACCTAGTTCTGTGAGTTCTTTGTCTCTCTCACCTCCATCTATGTCTCTGTAATTGTGGTGCTATGACCTTAGTTACAGCTTTTGTTGCTTCATATATTGGCTCCTAATACCTCATTCCATTCTCTCCCCTTATTAAGTCACAATTTATCCAAAAAATGCCAGATTACTATTTTCCTCTTTCCTTCTATTCTCAAAAACCTCTGGTGGCTCCCACTGACAGTATGAAGTCCAAATCATTAGCCAGGCATTTAATGCTCTCCAATCCCTATCTACTTTAGCACTTTCACAGGCATATAAAAGTTCTCCTTCAAACTTCTGCTTTGCTGTCTTCATGTTTTTTGTTTCAACACTTCTCTTAGCTGGGGGTTCTTCTTTCTGTTCAAATCCAATTTTACATATCCTTCAAGGTCCTCTGTGACCACTGCATGTGATAATTGGTTCACATTTCTCTCTTCTCAGAATTGTTAAACCACTCAATGTCCGTATCACTCATTTGGTATTTATTAACTCACGATATAACTGTTTATTGTTTTTCCTGTCTCCTGAACCAGGCTATAAACTCTAAGAAGACACCCCTAAAACATTTTTGTATCTCTCTCACACACAGCACAACGCCTCATATTCTGAGGTGCTCAAAAATTATCTGTAGATCGAAACGTGACCTAAGTATACTAAAATGAGGAAAGCATGGCTAAGCTTTTGCAAAAGAGTTGAAATACATACGGGTACTTTACATTTGTTTTCCCTAACCTTTATCAGACGCCAAAGGTAGCTGTTAAGAACTCAAAATACACTCATGTTTTATAAGAAAGAGAAAATTGCCAGTAAGAGGAAAAGTAAAAATACTGCAAAAACACTCGCCGAAATGAGACTCAATAACTCAAAACAAGTAACACTTTCCATCATACTGTCCCTAGACTGTTAGATAACGTGTCCAGCATATACTCTTTATCAACCACCCTGTGGTTTGTTCATTCTTTTGATACAGCAAAAGTACAGGCACTCCTGATCATCTACCCATTTCTTTGCTTAGAGTCTAATTTCTTTCCCAGTTCTGGGGGAAAAGGGTTACCTACAATGAGCTGTCTTGGTAGGTGAAAAGCCCAGATCCTGATCTTTTCTTACATCCAGCGAAACTGAGTCTCAGGATCTGATTAAAGTAAAATACTCCAGACCCTTGTTTCAGATAAAGCTTACCTTAAAACTGAACTATTCCTCTAAGTAAATTTTTAAATACAGAGCAAAACTGTATCTTTTTATATGCACATACAACATATAAATGTATAGGAAGAGATTTAGAAGGGCACACCTGGAAATGCATTATTTCTGAGAGGAAGACTGGATTGGTATACATTAGTTGTTATTATTTTAAAGAGAAATATTGTTCTTTGAAACAAAGAGGAAAAAATTTGTATCTACCTATTTTCTTCAAGGAATTTATCATTAAATCCCACAGTGGTTCTAAACATTCATCTGGGAAGAGAGGGCTACCACTTACGTTTCCTATTCAACCAGATTCCCCAGCTTATCTGTAAAAAATGTTTTTTGTGGGTATAAGGGACTAAGAGAAGTCCACGGATCAAATCCTTCACTTCTGTCACATTACCACATCTTTACCTTCCTTAGTGAGAGGCAATATAAGTGTTGTACTGAAAGCAATAAGATTTGAGTTCTAGTTTTGTCTCTGCGAAGAATATGCTGGGGGGACCTTATACAAATGCTTTTTTTGTAAAATGGTGAATTAGACTAAAACAGATATTCTCTGATTACTAGAAGATTTGCAAAGATGTATGAAGATTTATAATGTCCATTCTATGGAGAAAAGTCACTTCTGAAGGGCTGCGAATCTAAGCGCAAGACGACAAATTCCCTTTCATTCAGCAAACACTGAGCCCTCGCCACATGCGTGGTAGGTATTAGGATTCACTCCAAATCCCAGGCGCTCACTCGCCAGGATTTAGATGAATTTGCAAAAGTCCTTTCACTCAAGAAACGTTTCATTTTTCTTGGCCGTAGCCATTCCCCAAAGTGGCAAGGTCTACTTGCCGTCAACAGTCACCAAACCACTAGTAAGATGAAGACATACCTGCTGTGAACGCGGAGGTGACACAACTACAGTTCCCAGCATGCCTCTCTTTCCCACCACAGCCCTCTCCCGCCCCCGCTCCTGGATTCCCGCGGGCCGGGACTTGTAGTCCCAGCCCACAGCCGTGGGCGGCGCGGAAGCGCTCTAAAAATATGCTTCTCCCATTAGTAGGCCGTGAACCCGCAAGTTCCAACTAAAATCTTATGCGATTGACTAGGCTTTACCCCCGCTCAGAGGCGAATTCCCTCCTTCCAGACCTCCTCAGATCTACTTACAGCTCGGGCGGGACCACGCCCCGGAAGTAGAGTCAAGTCGTCCAGACTACAGCCAAGAGCCTTCCAGCCACTCGGAGAGGGGCTGGGACCAGCGGGGCGGGCTTGGGGGGCGTGGTCCAGAGGCGAGTTGGGAGGGGGCGGATCGGGCGTCCCAGCGCTTGGGGCGGAGCCACAGCACGGGGCCGCGCGTCGGGGTGGCGGCGGGGCCGCGCCCGTGGGGAGAGGCGGCTGCGGCTGCTAGTGGAGGGGGGTGAAGGAGGAACCGGGAAGGGGGGGGCAGGGCGAGCGGAGAGCCGTGTTCCTGAGGCGGTGGCGGCGTCTCCAACGAAAGAGGAGGAGGGCGGGGAAGGAGGATGGAGCAAGCTGGGGGTTGGGGTTGGCGCTAGCCGCAGCGGCTTGCCTCGTACTGTGGGAGAACGGCGGCTGCTCCTGGAAGTTGTGGGGTCGGGAGCCGGGCCGGTGTCTCCGCTGCCGCCGCCTTAGGCGGTGGGGAGGAGCAGGGAGCGGCGAGGCTTGGCGGGGGTCGGGAGGGAGGGGAAGGGCTGGGAAAGCGAGCTGGGGAAGACTGAGCGGGCTCTGCGCCGGGCGGGCGGGCGGCGGCGGGGGGGCCAGCCACCGCAGCCGGGGGGACGCGGGAGGATGGAGCAAGTGGAGATCCTGAGGAAATTTATCCAGAGGGTACAGGCCATGAAGAGTCCGGACCACAATGGGGAGGACAACTTCGCCCGAGACTTCATGGTGAGTCGTTCCCCTTGCTGTCGCCTGCTCTCGCTGGCACCGAAGCCCACCACCGCCTCGCCCGGCCGGCCGGGGCCGCCAGCGCTTTGTGTGCGGCTGTGAGGAGAGGGGCGGAGGGGGCGCGCACCAACTCCTAGGGCCGGGTGGTCTTGGAGGCGGGCAGGAGGTGAGACAGCCTCCGTCCCTCGGCCACCTTTCCTCCCCTCACGCTTTCGCGGCCCCTTCCGCGGGCGCCGGGGGAGCGAAGGGAGCGGCCCCGACCGAGCCCGCACTCTGCACTGCCGCCCGCGACCACCTATTGTTTCTTGGGCCGGGAGCCGGAGGCGACTGAGGTGCAGACCCGGAGCGGGGGGACTCGTCTCTTCACCCCCCACTCCCTATCCAGCCTGCTCCTCCTTGTAGGGTCGAGGCCAGGTGCCTACTCAGGGAGGAGAGAGCAGATCGCGGCTGATGGAGGAATGGGGGTGTTGAGGTTAGCATTAACTCGTGGGGTCCCTTTGCTCAAGCTGGTCTCAGAAGTGGGCAAGGTAGGAGTTCTGCCGTTTTGGGGTTCGTAGTTATTATCTCCAAGGCTTGGGAAAGGATTGTTCGTAGGGAATCCCGTGGCTTGCCCAATTCCATTTACCCCCGTCCCATCTCGTGTCTCTTGAGACTCAGGTTTGAGATGGCGTTGGGGTCATCATGACTTTAGGTTAGAGGGGGTGAGTGTGTGTGTGGAGGGTTTGGTTATCCAGAAGGAAGCCTACTTCGGACTCCCTAGGGGATATTGTGGAAGGCGGAGGGGATGTGACTATCACTTCCTATCCGGGGTGGGGGTGGGGAACTTGGGAACAATAGTCCTGGTGGGGCGGAGGCAACGAAACGGGCCGAAGCCCTGAACTGGGAGATAACCTTCTCAGCCTCCCCCCCGCCCCTTTCCGCCCTCTGCTTGGGCAGACCGGCTGGAGAGGAGGTTAAAAGTCTTGTTCGTGAAATTGCTCTAGATACATCACTCGTGAGGAGGTCAGATCCAAAGGCGTGGGACCAGAAGTCGACTTCCTACATGCCCCCCCCCCCACCTTTTATTTTTCTGCTGGACAATGTTCCCTTCAGGGTTGTTTCTCGGCTTGGGAGGTGGTGGTTGCGGCTGTGGCTCCTACGGATATTGCGCAAGACTGGGGCGTTGGAAACTCTGGAGGTCTGGGGAATGGAAAAGGAAGTGGGACTTTGGGAAGTGGTTGCTCCTTAGCCTTGGCGGGGTTTGGGAATGGGAAATAAGCTAGGGAAAATTTTGCTCCTGGACAAGATAGACCTTCAAGAATAATCACTTAACTCCGAAATTCTTGATTGTAAAAAGGATACAGTTAATGTCGATGAAAATGAAAGAGCAGCAAACATTGGCTAGTTTTGTTTCAAAGTACGGTTTAATTGTTTACAAGGTGCAGGTGAAATGACTTTTAGCCCTGAAATACTTTTTCACATTTTAAAGAGACTAGGATGTAGTAAAGCTTTAGCATTAAAATTGTTAACAGCTTATAAAATAGATCGTTGACCTTATACAGTATTATAATAGTATTGTTGAGCTTTGTGATTCCCGCCTTCCTAGACCAATAACAGAGGATAGGAGTAAGATTTCGTATCTTTTGAAAATGGAAAAATACAGATAAAATAATCTGCCTTATTTTAAACATTTTCTGTTGATATTTAGCCTATGTATTTTTGAAAAGTTAATTTTTGATCCAAGGAAGGTAAAGAAAAGAGGATATTTTCTCTTCTTACTAGTGAGAATTTTTATTGTGTTGGTATCCTTTGTGGATAGTCACTTAACAGTAATTGGATGGAGTCCCCTTGTTACTACTTTTTAGCGAATAGAAAATATTTACTTAGGATAGTTTAAAAGTTTAAAACAGGCTTTTACAGTCTTATTTTGGTAATGGAAGAAGAGGTGGTCTGGTCCTTGGTCCCTTCTAATTTGCATGCTAGTCGTCTTGTTATCCCTGGGCATATCCTCTCAGGGAAGAGCATTGTTTGGTGATGAAGGCCATCAGGACAGGTGCCCAGTCTCTGAACTTCTGTACTGGGGAAGTAGCCTTGGGGTCATGCTTTGGGGATGAGTCAGGGATTCCTATTGGAGAGTTCATTTCTGAAGTACTGAATGAGTTTCTTTTTTCTTCCATAAAAACTACGGATAGCTAGGTGATTCTGCTTTTTTTATTCCATGACTTGATAAGCAATAGCTATAATTAAGACTGATAGATGGTGCTGCTTTTTCCCTTGACTGGAAGGCTGGAGGGAAACCATGTCCCCTCTGCCATGGAAAGAGAATAGAAGATCAGCTAATAATTCTAAGTGTTCTGTTATTTTTAAATTCTTCTGTGGATCAAAAATGCATTTTTAAATTTTAGCATTTTAGAACTGAGCCTTAGAAGTAATCTAGCTATGATAATCCTATTCAGTTATGAAGTACTAGTGTTCATTATTTCAAATTTGGAGATTATAGAAAAATAATTAATAATGCCTTACTCTTAGGAAAGTGGAGTGGACATGCAGACTGTGTTCCTCCCATTGTTGGATCCTGCCTTTCTAGTCCCATCACCTAAAGGCGGTTTCTGTTAATGTTTTTAATGCATCTGTGTGACCATGCTATATATTTCATTTTTTATTGTTGGGGTTTTTTTTCAACTTAACATTTTGATAAGTGTTTTTCATTTGTAAAAATCATTTCAGTGGCTATATAATATTTCACCTCGCAACTATTTTATAGCTTAACCATTTCCTTGTGGTTGAATGTTTAGGCCATTTATTTTCTATTACATATTATAATTCTGTATTGAACATTTATGCGTAAAACTTCCTTATTTTGGATTGTTGCATAAGATATCTTCCAGTAGTGGAAGTACTAGGTAAAAGGATATAAACATTTAATACATGTTTATAAATAACTTTTTGAAGAAGTTGTATCTGTTTATACAACTGTCAGTAATGAATGAGTGTTCATTTAATTATCTTGATCTTTGATAATTTGATGGTTGGAAAATGGTATCTTGTATTAATTTGAAATTTTTGATGACTAATAAGGACAGGAAAATTTCCACCTGTCATTAACTATTCAGTGAGTTGTCTATTCTTGGCCTTGGTGTGTTGCATCCTCCCCAGCCCGCCCCTAAAGAGTAGAAAACTAAGATACTGAGATGGTGTAGATTACAGCATCAAGATGATTACTTACATGTTGAAGGTTAAACATCTGATTTGTGGCAGATCCAGAACTCAATTTCAACTATCTTGACTTTAAGTCTTCTTTACAAGATGGCAGACAGTGATCATGACAAGCAAATGTATACAGTAGAATGGTGTGTATTCATGTTTGACAGACCTGGGTTTTACGCCATCTCTTTCATGGTCTAGCTGTTTGACTTTGGGCAGGCCACTTAGAAGAAAATAGTATAACTGATTTCTCTCATCTTTTAAGGAAGAAAAATGCTACATACTTCACAGGGCTGAGGTATGGGACTGATATTTAGGGTCATCATCTAACATTTTGTGCAAAGGTCTGTGTAGACTCATAGAGCTGATTTAGGTAGTCAGTTACAGATAACTAGACATAGAAGGCTTTTGTTTTCAGTCCTTTTCTTGTGCTTTTTAAAGCTTTATAATGTCTAGGGGCTCCTGGCTGGCTCAGTCGGTTAGGTGGCCAACTCTTGATCTCAGCTCAAGTCTTGATGTCAGGGTCATGAGTTCAAGCCCCCTGTTGAGCTCCATGCTGTGTATGGAGCCTACTTAAAAATAAGTAAGCAAATAAATAAATAAAGATTTATAATGTCTAAAACACTGAAACAAGAAGTAGATTTCTTTTGATCAGGCTGAAGTTTATCTAATTTACATTTAACGCTTGTATATTAAAAAAATCATAAAAGATGACACTTAAGCTACAAGTAAATACAGCAGTTTCAGCTTACAAACCAGTTCTGTCTCCATTTCTGAAGGTGAAAACAAAAATATAATGAGTGAATTCAGTGGAGTATTTAAAAAACAGGATGTAGCAGAGGTGTGAATTCTTGTACTTTTTTGTGAAATATTGGGAGGAGAGTATTTAAGGACATTTTTCTAAAGCTGAACTGAGGTATAATAGCAAGTGATGCATCCTATGTTAAAATGCTATTTAAAATAACTTTGATGTTTTAACGTAATCTGAACTTAATTTTTATCTATCAAAGGTACCCAAGAACTACCGTAGAAGTTATCCATTTCAAGGAATTTATTATATAAAACCATCTGTTCTACAAATAGTAATCCTGACAGAACTGTTCAAAACAACCAGTCTGTTTGCTTTGTTATGATTAAATAATTGTTAGGCGGTTTTCATTTTACTACACTAATGTTAGTGACTTTACAAATTATTTTAAGTAGAAAAGAAATTAACATTTTTCGTCCCTTTTATATACTAAACACTGTGCCAGATACTCTACACCCTGTCTTACTTAACATGTCAACAACTTATGAGGTAGATATAACCTGTGTTTTACACATGAGGAAGCATACTCTGAGAAGTTAAGTATTCTGCTTGACTTTAAAACCTGTTCTTTTTTTTTTTAAGTTTATTTATTTCAGTATCCAACATGGGGCTTCGACTCACAACCCGGAGATTAAGAGTCACATGCTTCTCCAACTGAGCCAGCTAGACACCCCAAAACCTCTGTTCTTTTTGTTCTGTTTCTCCAGGATACATCTGAGGTCCTTTGGGACCTGGCTGAGACTAGGCTAGTGGTGGAGGGTGCATCACCATGCAAAGGGATGGAGGTTTTAGAGTTGAACATGTTTGGGATGCCTTGTTGGCTCAGTCAGTTGAGTGTTGGACTCTTGGTTTTGGCTTAGGTCATGATCTCATGGGCCCAGGAATCAAGCCCTGTGTCGGGCTCAGCATGGAGTCTGCTGGAGACTGCCCCTCCCTCCACATGCACACTTGAGTGAGTGCACTCTCTCCCTCTAATAAATAAATAGATCTTTAAAAAAAATAAAGTTGA